GGCGAACATTAGAGCCAATTTGCGCGCAGCAGTGACTCACAAACTGCCGTAAAGTGAATAGCCGATTATTATTCAGAGGGTTAGCCGCTGCTAATCCCATTGCTGTGTTCAAATTGGCTGCCGCATTCATCTACAAAATGCACTTTATAGTGAATTCTGTGAAGCGCTTTGAGGCGTTCCCCCAGACGTGAAAGGTGCTGTATCACATAATAATAATAATAGTAATCCTTGCATTTGATACAGCGCTTTATCATGGCTGCAAGACGTCTCAAAGCACTTCACAGAATACACTGTAAAGTGAATTGACTGTATTTTGTGGGACAAACACGACAGCAGCTGAGCACAGCTGTGTCCCACAAACAGTCGTGGATTGAGGCTTCAAATTATTATTATTATTTTTTTTGGAAGGAATTATTGTCCCGGGAAAAGCGATCCGCCAATCAACTAACAACCAGGTTCCTACTTACTGTTAGGTAAACAGAGACGTGTAGAATAAGGAAACTTGCCCAACGTTTCGCCCTGCCAGGAATCGAACTTAGGTCCTCTCGCCTTGAAGGGGAGGGCTCTAACCACTAAACTACAGCACTTCATAATAACCATAGTAATTCTTGCATTTGACATAGCACTGTATCAAATCGTTCTAACGACTCAAAGTGCTTCACAGAATATATTGTTAAGTGGATTGCATTTTATTGTTTATAAACCTAAAGATTACTCACTTTTAGCAAATCCTTCCTTACTCAGAGGGTGGTTGGAAGGTGAAATTCTCTGCCAATAACAATTATTGAAGCAGCGTCCACTGATTCTTTTCCAGGGGAACTGGACAGATACTCGAAAAGAATAATACTAAAAGGTCTTGTGAGTGTTACATGATTTTGATTCTCTGGTTTATCTCTTTCGAATGACCTCAGCAGCCCTTATCTTGGGCACTATAAATTTCAGCTGCTCCCAGCTTTGCTCCTTCTGATCTTATTCTGCTGCGGTGTGCACTGATTACACAATCAGGGCATGAACCATTGAGCTCACACTAACCTGAACCCGACAATAAGGCACTGAGAAGCCGCTCTCCAGGCTCCGAAATAAGGATGGAAATATACCAGCAATCACACCTGCTCAACCTGTCAACCACATCAACCTGCTCCACGTCCCCCACCCGGCCTGCACACAACCAGCGGTCGGGTCTTAAGCCTCTCTGCCCCCACCTTTTGGAATTCCATCCCACATTCCCTTCAGCTCGCTCCCTCCCTTGCCTTCTTCAAAGCACGTCACAAGAGCCTCCTCTTCAAGCGCGCCTTAAGCCACTTTCCTATCCCTACCCTCCCTGTCCTCCATCCCTCCCTGATCCCAACTCCCAGCTCAGGTCCAAATCCCTGACTGTTCATCGCTATACAAATGTAATTTTGCATTGTGTTGCACCTTTCCCAATTAAAGAATTAGCTTTTAATTTCAAAACCTATGGATATATGTGTGTGTGTGTGTGTGTGTGTGTGGAGTCCTGTAGCTCAGTGGTTAGAGCAGTCGCTTTGCAAGTGAGAGACTTGAGTTCAATTCCAGGCAGAGCGAAACCTTGGGCAAGTTTCCTTACTCCACACGCCTAATAATAATCCCTCCAAAAAAAAAACCAAAAAACAATAATAAATTGGTCATTTTCAATCTACGACTGTTTGTGGGACATTGCTGTGCGCAATTGGCTGAAGCGTTCGCCCACAAATATACAGTCAATTCACTTTACAGTGTGTTCTGTGAAGCGCTTCGGGACGTCCTCCCGACGTGAAAAGCGCTATATCAAATGCAAGGATTATTATTATTGTTACACAGACTTTAAACATCGAAAAGGAAATAATTAAATATTGTTGCATTGTCCGGCGTATGATGTTGAAACAAAATCCCATTTAGATGTTAAAAATCCCGTCTTTGAAAAGAGAAGGGAGTTTCTCCCTGTGTCCTGGCCACCAATCCTCCAGATAAAATTGGTCATACACTTCATGATTGTTTGTGGGACATTGCTGTACATAAATTGGCTGCCTTGTTCACCTACACTGCACTTTACAGTATACCCCGTGAGGTCTGATTGTGGAGCCAGGCTCCGTGCAAATTGGCTGTTGCTTTTGCATATTTTCAGGGGCGGATGGGAAATCTGGAAACTTCCTGTGTGCTGCCTCGCTGGAATTCTTAACCTCCTCAAAACACAGTCACAAAAGTACACAATGCAACCGGAGGCCATGATGGAGCCGGTTGCAGTTGCTGTGTGCAGTTGAGAATTAGAAGCAGGAAAGATCCTCTCGATTCCCAGCAGGTGGATGAGGAGGAGTGTGTGTGTGTGTGGGAGGAGAAGAAAATATTTTTCGGTGCCCCCCGCCCCACACACAAATTGGCATCCCCATTTAATAATAATAATCCTTGCATTTGATGTAGCGCCTTATCACGTCTTCGAGACGTCTCAAAGGCTTCACCGAATATACTGTAGAGTGAATCGACTGGATATTTTGTGGGCAAAATGCTACAGCCAATTGTGCACAGAAGTGTCCCACAAACATTCGTGGATTGAAGTGACCAAATTATTATTGTTTTACATGACAATTCTGAGCCAGTCTACCCCTACTGCATGCGTAAAACACAGTTAGGAACATAGGAACAGGAGTAGGCCATTCAGCCCCTGGAGCCTGTTCGGCCATTCTATTAGATCACGGCTGATCTGTATCTCAACTCCAGTTACCAACACCTGACTGCGTCTGAGGCCATTTGAGACATTTCTATGCTGTGCCAAAGGCAAAAGTGGTTATTATTATTGCTATCAATCTGGTCCGGGGGTTTGAATAACTGATGCTGCCTTGATGTATATGGAGCACACACAGCCCCCCCGGCTCCTGTTAGGCCAGGCCTCAAGAGATACGTCCTACTTTGAGGTGACGTTCAAACAAAACAAGCGATGAAGGTGTTTCACTGCCATTGGAAACAGCAACGCATGACCTCCCTCTGAGGAATCAGTGGTCCATGAGGAGCGATCAGTAGCCCATGCTGACATGGAGCAATTATCCTCCTGTCTGCGGAAGAAGGCAGACAATCATACTTACCCTTGACAGCCATTTCATCATTTCATTACCTTACAAGCAGCTCCAGTTGACATTTCATTTCCCTATCAATCAGGACCTGAGATGTTTGGGTGGTTAGGTACAAGAGCAGTGAGATGTGATCTCCCTTGTCCCATGTCAGGGCTTTGCCGGGTGGTAAATTTGACAACCCCCACCCCCCAACACTGCCTGCACATTCCATTTCATTCCCTTCAGAGGAACGTATTGGTTAGCGCGCTCGCCTTGCAAGCGAGAGCACCCGGGGTTGATTCCCAAGCGGGGTGAAATCATTGGCAGGTTTCCTTACCCCACACAGCTCTGTTTACCTAGCAGTAACACTCATTCCAAGACACTCCTATGCGTAATTGGCTGCCGCCTTTCGCCCACAAAATACACAGTCAATCCACTCTACAATATATTCTATGAAGCGCTTTGAGACATCTCAATGACGTGATAAGGCGCTGTATCAAATGCAAGGATTGTTATATTCCTATAACTCTGCAATGCCAGCAGAGATCATTGCGTTTATTGTCTCTTGGAAGTTACTGCAGAATAATAGGTTTATCTTCATTTTATTCAGGATGTTACAATTATTTCCCGAGGTCTTGTGTTTGTGCACGTATTTAAGTGGAGGTTGTCTTGTATCCATGGTTACTTATACTGCTCTGGATTGTTATTCGCCCACTCGTGCAAAGGCATAACCCTCCCAGCAAGCAGTCAAGCGATCAGGAGGCAATCCAATGTTTGTCGTTAAATTTTTAATGTTATTACATTTACAAACCAATCACCCGAAAGGTCAGTGTGGTTCAGCTGGTAGGACTCTTGCTGGATGTTGGTTCAATACCCTCAAAGGGACTTGAGCGCATAATCTAAGATGACACCTTCAGTGCAGCCAAGACTATGAGAAACAAGAGCGTTGTGTTGCTCAAGGTGCTGTCCCGTGGGTTAGATGTTAAACTGAGGCCCTGTATGTTTTTTCAAGGGTGGACATCAGTGTTAAATATGTCAGGTCTAAGTAATTACATACCAGAAGTCCCCAGGTGGAAAAGGGATCTGTGTTGAGTTCAACGACTAACCTGTTTCTGGATCTCCCTGCTTCAATCCCTCTGCCTAGCCCCTCTTCATCTAGCTTTAAATCCTACCTTAAACGTAGCTCTTCGACCGCATTTATGGTTACTTCTCCCTCTCTCTTCTCCCTTGCTCGGCGTCTAACCGTATTGGCAGGAATCCTTACAAAACTGCCTTTTTTCTCTGAGTTTAATATTGTCCTCGATCTCCATCCGCCTCCACAGCACTCGGAGATTCTATCCTACGTGAAGGGTGCTGTGTAAATACAAGTTGTTGAATTAACTGATCTCATCCAGTACAGCCTGTGGAGCATTGCTTGATCTTAGTGCCCGTGGGTTAGGGAAGGAAAATTCAGTCAGGTTTCCTGCTTCTGAACACCATTCAGAAACACCTGCTGGAAAGTGTGCATGTATGGTCGTGGGGTGAGGATGGGATTGGGCTGACTCTCTCTCTCTCCCCCTCTTTCTCTCTCTCTCTCTCTCTCTCTCTCTCTCTCTCTCACCACAAGAACCTTAGAAACATCATTCGAACCTCACACATGATCAGTGGCCATTTTAGTGAGGTAGCAAAAGTTGTCCCTATTCCCCAATTGAATCATAGAATCATAGAATATTACAGCACAGAAGGAGGCCATTCGGCCCATCGTGCCTGTTATGACTCTTTGGAAGAGTTACCCAATCAGTCCCACTCCTTTGCTCTTTCCCCACAGCCTTGCAATTTGTCTCCTTTTCAAGTATCTATCCAATTCCCTTTCAGGCAGTGCATTCCAGACTGTGACAACCCTCTGCAAAAAGAAATTTCTCCTCATCTCCCCTCTGGTTCTTTTGCCAATTGTAATTATCTTTGTTTCTTTGTTCTCAGGCAGTGAGGAGAATTTTGGAGGCCAGTTTCTTCACCTGTATCTTGTAGATGGAAGACCTATGGTAAAGCTGGGATGTGGTTGGCCCCAGAAAACGCTGATGGTGTCTGGCAAACAACGGATCAACGAACACAACCTCACCTCAATCACAGTGAGGTAGGTCATCTTGGGAGCCTCCTCTGCTGCAGTCCATCAATGTCAGTACTCAGTGAATCAAATTACAGTATATTCTGTGAAGCGTTTTGAGACTTCTAAACGACGTGATAAGTCGCTATATCAAATGCAAGGGTTATTATCATTGTCAGCACAACATGGCAGTGGAAGTGTATCAGTGAATAAAGAACACCATGAGTTTGTATAGCTCCAGCATCCACACCAAACTGAGAATTCCATGCATCCCACCTACCTACACATGGAAGTTTCCTTGTTTCGAATGAAAAGCACATTCTCTCCCGATGGTGTGTAGGCTGCTTACCTAAATCCGTAGAGTATTATGTGCACGCTGGCAAGACCCAAGGCTTGGGGAACCCAGAGTGTGCATCTGCTGGAATTTACCAGCTAAAACCGCCAATGATCGCACTGATTAGCAAGCTTTCCAACTGCCTATCCAGCTTGGACCACCCTAACTGTTTAGGGCTTTGACTTGTAGGGTTAATAGGAGTTGAGTGGGTAGAATCCCTGCATGTTTTAGATGGAACAATTAACCTCAGAGATAAGTTGGCAAAGGTTGGTGGACCCTCCATCTGACTGATTTACTTCTGGAGGAGCAAGTGCAGCCATTTTAGACAACAGCCTATGAATTCCAAAGGTAAAACTCTGAATTGCAGCTTTACCATCTGAAGTCTTTTCTGCTTCAGTGGGCAGCCCATAAATATTTTATTGTAAATGCTTACCAGAATAAACCAGTTCCAGGCACAGATCCAAGTGAAGTCTTCAACATTTTAGACTTCTTGTCGGACTCTTTCCATGATTTCTTTAAAATATCCTGCTTTAATCTGTAGATTCTCCATTTCTAGTTTCTGCTTTAATCTTGTGGAGTCCAGCAGCTTATTGATTAGTGCGCTCTCCTTGCAAGCGAGAGCACCCGAGTTTGATTTGCAGGGCAAAACCTTAGGCTAGTTTCCTGACTCCACATGCCTCTGTTTACCTAGCAGTAGTTAGGAACCGGTTGTTAGTTGATTGGTGGATTGCTTTCCGGGTGGTAATAATACCTTCAAATAACTAATAATAATTTGGTCATTCAATCCAAGACTGTTTGTGGAACGCTGCTGTGCACAATTGGCTGCCGAATTTCATTGCAAAATATACAATCAATTCATTTTACAATATATTTTGTGATGCGCTTTGAGACATCTCAATGACTTGATAAGGTGCTGTATCAAATACAAGGATTATTGTTATTATTTTAGAGTGTTATACTTTGTTAAACTCTCTGCAAATCGACTCCTACGCATCAACCATCATTGAACTGCTTAGTTTTTAAAACAAATATAATTTATATTTATATGTCGCTATTCACATCGGGAGTTCGTCTCAAAGCAAAATACACAGAGCTGTGGATGGGAGCTGAGGAGGTGGGTGGGCGTAGAAGGGAAAAAATGACCAAATCTGCAATCGAAGATGTGCGTTTTGAGATGGGGAGAGGAGTAAATTGGAATTCCAGAGAGCGTATTAATAACTATTAGGACAAATTGCAAGATAAATGTCTCGAAACAGGAAGCCAGAAGAGAACAATCCAGTTTTTCAAAATATAAGTTTGCGATAGTAAATATGTGAAGTCAATATCTCTAGGGTAAATACAGAGTTAGCCCCTCCCCCCGACATAACACAATAATTTATTCTGGTGTCTTGGGATCCATAAAATTAGACCCCACACCCACCTTATAATGTATCCGCAAAACAAGATGGCCTCCAGTTCTACTTCCAGGTGGTCAGGTGGTCAGGTCATCCCATTTCTGCTACTTACCAGCCAGCTTCCAGCACACGAGTGTTATAAACGATCAAGAGAATGGTCAAGGCTGATCTGCTACTTAGAATTATAGAGTCATAGAATCATACAGCACAGAAAGAGGCCATTCAGCCCATCATGTCTGCGCCAGCTCCGAATGGAGCAATCCAACTCAATCCCACTGGCCCGCTTTCTCTCCATAGCCCTGCAATCTTGTCCTTCCCAAATACCCATCTACTTCTCTCTTAAAAGTTGTTATTGAATCGGCTTCCATTACCCTTTCAGGTAATGCATTCCCGATCCGAACAACTCGCTGGTGAAAAAAAAATTCCTCTGTTTCTTTTAATAACTAACTGAAATCGGTGTCCTCAGGTTACTGACCTATATGCCAGTGGAAACAGTTATTCCCGGTTCAACCCATCAAATCCTCTCATGATCTTGAAAATTTCTATTAAATCCCCTCTTAATCTTCTCTGCAGGGAGAATAATCCTAGTTTTGTTAACCTCTCCTCATAACTAAGGTCCTTCATTCTTGGTACCATCCCGGTAAACCTCTTTTGCACCCTCTCCAATGCCTTAACATCTTTCCTAAAGTGAGGTGCCCAGAACTGAACGCAGTCTCCAACTGAGCCCCAAATAGCATTTTATAGATATTCAACATAACCTCTAGAGTTTTGAATTCTATGCTCCTATTTATAAAACTTAGGATCCCGTATGCTTTTTTAACAGCTTTATCTATCTTTCCTGACACCTTCAGAGATTTGCTTATGTTGACCCCCAGGTTTCTCTGTTCATTTGCCTCCTTTAACTGTGGAGTCCTATAGCTCAGTGGTTAGAGCACTCGCTTTGCAAGCGCGTTCAATTCCCGCCAGGGCGAAACCTTGGGCAAGTTTCCTCACTCCGCACGCCTAATAATAATTCCTCCAAAAGACAAAAAAATAATAAATTGGTCATTTTCAATCCAAGACTGTTTGTGGGATACTGCTGTGCGAAATTGTCTGCCGCGATTTGCCCACAAATATACAGTCAATTCACTTTACAGTATATTCTGTGAAGCGCTTTGAGACATCTAGAAGACATGAAAAGTGCTATATCAAATGCAAGGATTATTATTATAAGATTGTACCATCTAGCTTATACTGCGTCTCCTCATTTTTCCTACCAAAATCCTATCACTTCTATCACTCTGATACAGTCTTCAGAAAACATCGTGTGAAGAAAACTTTATAGTACATCCTATGAAGTACAGTGTTCAGAATATCCTGTGAAGCACATTGAGTCATCTTAACGGCCTGATAAGAGGCTATATCAAAGGCAAGGATTATTATTATTGATAAGATCTGACCAGAGCTGAGTGTCACAGTCACAATGCTGGACTGCAGCAAAGTCCATGCCAAAGTGCCCGATGTTAAAGGCAAGTCACAAATCCTACACAATCAATGTGTCTCAGAAGATTGGATGTAACAGTTATTTATGAGTTGTTCAAAAATAACTGGGTCGTCCCATTGATTTTTTTGGGTGGATGAGTCATCAAGCTGGTTAAATGAGTGCAGTTTCCTTCAAAGTAAGAGAGCACAGGTTCAGGGTTAGGCTTTTATATAATAATAATAATTGCATTTGAAATAACGTTGTTCAGACGTCTCAAAGCACTTCACAGAATATACTGTAAGTGAATTGACTGTATACTTTGCAGGTGAAACCGGCAGCTAATTGCATACAGCAGTGTCCCACAAACAGTTGTGGAGTATTTTTTAAGGGATTATTACTCCTGCGAAGCAATCTGCCAATAGACTAGCATCCGGGTTCCTACTTACTGCTGGGTAAACAGAGGCGTGTGGAGTAAGAAAGCTTGCCTAAGGCTTCACCCTGCCCGGGAATTGAACCCGGCTCCTCTCGCTTGCGAGGCGAGTGCTCTAACCAATATGCCACAGGGTTGCAAAGGGTAATTGTAGGGGAGACACTAACAAGTGCTTATTTCCCCAGAGGTTAATTAACAACAGAAACAGGTTACCCAAAAGGGTAGTTGAGACCAAGACACTGAAAAAGAGTGACAGCGTATTTTCTAGGTTAACACAGCAGCCAATATACACACAACAATGTCCCACAAACAGCTATGAAGTTTTTGGCTGTGACACCAGAAGGAAACTCCCTTCTCTTTTCAAACTGCACTGTCTTTAACTTCCACCTGAAAAGGCAGACAAGACCTGGGTTTAATGTCTCATCTGAAGGCTGATACCCGCGGCACTGAACTGGAGAATCGGACCCAACTGCGAGTTCAAAGTCTCATTGTGGGGCTTAAACCCACAACCTTTTATGCTTCATATGGAGAAAAATACCAGCCCAGAGTTGATGGACTGATCAGAAAAATAATGAATAATGGCCTCACAGAGGGTAGATTTCACACATCTCAAAGATTAAAGCGAGAAGACTCAATGTGGCTCAGATTCTAGAAGCAAAACTCTTCTCTAAGATAAAAAACAAAGCTGATGCCAATTCAGTTCAGAATCAGGGTAAGACAGAAATCTTTATTCAGAAGTCAGATTGTCATTGTGCACTCAACAAAAAACAACCACAAATTCTGTATCATAGAATCAGAGACGTTTACAGCACAGAAGGAGGCCATTCAGCCCATCGTGCCTGTGCTGGCTCTTTGAAAGAGCTACCAACTCGTCCCATTCCCCCGCCTCTTTCAGATGTACTCCTCAGCTATCTCACGTGTCCTGGGTGAGCAAACCCATCCTTGGCACAATGAGGGTTAAGTTGGTGCCACTTGCAGTGTAGCTTGAGGATACAGAACATCTGTAGCATTTTAAACACAAGAAATTCAATACATTTAGGAAAAACAAGGCTGCAGAAGTGGTATTTAGGCACGTCTCAAGATGTACCTCTTTGTCGGCACTTTATATAAATATAACAATGCTGCACAAGTGATATTTACAGGAGTGGTGTCCTGTGGATCAGTACTGTCTGATCCAAATTTCCAGCAAAGATGAAAAGACGCGAGGTCACTTATACCAAACATTTTTGATAACGTTGCAACCATAATCTTTGGGCTCATCAATTTGTAGCCTAAGGTGAAACTGAGGCACACTATCAGTACCGATGTCTCTCTTTCTCTCTCTCTCTCTCTCTCTCTCCCTCTCAGTAGCTAATTGATAACAACAACAAATTGCATTTATGCAGCACCTTTCTCGTCGAGAGGACATCC